TTGCTCAGTGGATAGAGCATTGGCTTGCAGACTGAAGGATCCTGGGTTTGATTCCAGTCAAGGGCACATGCCTGGGTTGTGGGCTTGATCCCCAGTAGGAGGCATGCAGGAGACAGCTGATCCATGATTCTCTCTCATCATTGATGTCTCTATCTCTCTCTCTCCCTCTCCCTTCCTCTCTGAAATCAATAAAAATATATATTTTTTTAAAAAAACATGACCATACAGGTATACAATAAGTAAGCCCTGGGGATGTAATTGCAGCATGACTGCAGTTAATAATGATGTAGTGTGTGTTTGCAGTTATAAGACAGTAGATCTTACAAGTCATTGTCCCAAGACCAAGAAAATGCTGCAGTAGCTATGTTTGGTGACGGGTATTCACTAGACCTGTGGTCATTTCACAACATATAAATACGGAATCATGATGTTGTGCCACTGAAACTAAGGTAACAGTACATGTCCATTGACTTCCATTAAAATTTTAAAAATTAAAACAAATGTGAAAGGTGGGATGCATTTAAGAGCTGAGGTTGAGCTGGTGGCCTATACCTGCTGACAGGCCACAACGTTAAAAACCAGCAGAGAGGCCCTGGCCAGGAGCTCAGTTGGTTAGAGTGTCGTCCCCACGCATCAAGGTTGTGGGTTCAATCGCTGGTAAGGGCAGGTACAGAATCAACCAATGAATGCATGAATCATTAGAACAACAAATCGATGTGTCTCTCTCCCTCCCTCCCCCTTCCTCTCTCTAAAATCAGTAAATAAATAAATAAGAATTTTAAAAACACGTTTATCCATATCTCTACAGATGGAAAACCTTCAGAAGTCACCGCTCCTGGTCACAGCTAGCAAATTTGATTTTAAAAGCCACATTTTGCCCCAGCCTGTGTGGCTCAGTGGGTAAAGCGTCAGCCTGGGGTTTTATTCCGGTCAAGGGCAGGTACCTCCTTCTCAGGCTCCTCCCCCCTCCTCCGCCCCCCATCAGGGCGAGTCCAGGAGGCAACCAATCAATGTGAGTTCTCTCAGTCTTTCCCTCTCTCTTCCACTCTCTCTCTAAAATCAGTGGGAAAATGTCCTCGGGTGAGGATTTAAAAAGATAAAATAAAAATAATAATAAAAGGCTAGTATGCAAATTGTCCCCTCTGGGAGTTAGACAGGGAATTGACCACTTGCTATGACATGCACTGACCACCAGGGGGTGGCCCAGAATGAAGGAAGGCCCCACCGCCAGGCCTAGGGACCCTACCCTTATGAATTTCTTGCACTGGGCCTCTATTAAAAAAAAATAAAATCCATGTGTGTTGTTGTTTGTTTTTAAGCGCAAAAGTATAAGGACCCATAAAATACCCAGCAAGCGAGCCACAGATGTCTTGGGGGCGGGGCGGGGCGGGCGTGGGCCGCTGGACTCACCCTAACAGGCCTCTGCAGTCTTCCGAGAACACGTCCTCTACGCTCAGGTGGAGACTCTGCAGGTTCAGGGCGTGCTGGAGGCAGCAGGCGTAGGTCATCAGGTCGTCGGGCCTGCTGATGCACACGTCAATGTCCGGGAACATGCTCATCACCTGTGTGGCAAAGCCGGGGTCCTGCGTCTCAAACACGCAGCTGAACAGCTCCTGGAAGTTGATCTGCAGCTCGCCGAGGGCGACCTGCTGGCTCAGGCTCTGTAGGCACTGCGTGATCTCCTCCCGCAGGCTCGCGGCCAGCTCGAAGCCCCAGGCCGCCTCCAGCAGGCTGGCCACCCGCTCCGTGGCGAACCCGAACAGAAAGAGTGCCGTGTTCTTCAGGTAGAAGGGGGCCTCGGTCATGGCGGCCGTGACCAGCTGCGTGGCGCTGCAGATGCGGGGGTGCTGCGGCTCCTGGGGGAGCCTGAGCAGGTACCACAGGGCGGTGCACAACTCCTGCAAGGACTGGTGCGGGAAGACCCAGAGGCTCCCGTTCTGGCGCAGGAGCCCCATTCTCACCCAGGCCAGGGCGTGGGCCTCCGGCACCGTGTTCTCATCCAGGTCCGAGGGCTGGAAGGCGAACCGGCCGG